CATCCACTGAGCAATATCACAGGCAGAATTCTGTGGAAACAGCCTTTATTGGATTCACAGCGCATCTTGAAAAAGCCCAAGTTCTGCAGTCATTGGGCATTGTGCAGGATTACATGACGAAGCACCCTTCAATATTTGAAACGCAAGCCGCCGAGACGGTTCAGAGATGGATGGTGGACATTCAAAGCGAAGACTTGACGGTGCCTTTGCCCGAATGAGTAATAGCAGCTCGAGCACCAGAGGTCACGACATGGTTTACAAGAATGATAGATAAAGTGTATTGCTTTTAGACCAGGAATCATCTTGACCGACTAGCAGTTGATGTTGATCTATAAACACAACGCCATCTCCATACTGTTCCACCCTCTATGTTCATGTGATGATACACCGCATACCAATGATAGCGGAATTTTTGGCCGGCGAAGTGATCTATAAACACCCCTCATTAGATTTTCAGTTTTCTCACGTCAAGCTGAACTGGTTGTGCGTAAAGCGTGGATATGACAAGCTGTGATTCCTCAACGAGATGTGTCTGGTCATCTCGTGTGTCTCGTAGATCAACCATTCATGATCCAACACTAGAGACTGCCGAGAGCCCACGTTGTATTTGAACTGTAGATCGATGATGTTCAAAGCATTCAGTCATTCTTTCCTAAACACAATGTAGTTTTGCCAGGGGATTGCATTTCATAATCGTATGCTGAGCAATGTTCGACGTTGTCTTTCCTGTGATGATACCACATTATAATTGAAGGAAAGAACTTGCAGTGTACTGTATCTGAAAACTAAGCTTGCCTTTGATTCTGCGAATTTGGACTTTGGATCTGGCATGTTCCCGGAAAGACTTTGTTTACACTGGTGAGCAAATATGATCACTGTTGGAGGGCTCAACGGTGCACCATCGAAGTCAACGAATCTAGCGGTAACTTGAAAGCAGTCTACGCGGTATAGATCTCAAGTCGTTCGAGCCTGCCCGGGATCTTGAGAAGATTGGGATCAATTCTTGCTGTCAGAGCATCTTTGAGATGCTGTTGACAACATTTCCTTCGGGAGCATCATGAACAGCCGGTATTGACGCACTTTTCTATATCTTATCCACTCGCATCATCGGTAATGACGGGAATGGACAACTCGAAGGACTTAATTCATAGTCACCGTTTTTTGCATGCTCGTGTTAGTCGGTGGCCTATCTACTCTGGAAACTAAGCCTCGATATTTTTCCTGTCGTCAATATATTTGCTCCAGCGCCAGTTGTTCTACGTACTCCCTTCACGGGAAAATTGCCTTTCAAACAGAAAGAACCTTTGCGCCCGCTGCTTCCAGTTCCAGCTTTACCAGAATATTATGCTGATCCGCATCTCTCAATCACCAAGCCGCCGACTCCAGATACCACTCCTTTCGATCATATGGACTCGCACGCCCTGCCAAGCTGGCCCGAATATGGTCAGAGCATATGCGAGAATAATCGTATGGATGCTGCACCGCCGATACGTGAATTCTGGGTTGAGCATGGGATCGTCCAAGTCTACCACTCTGCCCCGGCTTTTATCTATCATACACAGATGCCGCTAGCGGACCGTGGCATTCCCAGCCTCCACCACTCCCATGAAGCAGACCGTCCGCTTGAAGCGGCCTCAACAATTTGTGTGCCACCGCTGAGACTATATCTGGCGAGCCGAAATGACTCAGAGCGAGTGCCCAATATAGTTGAACGGACCCCAGAGACCGGTTTCTCGACAATGCAAACTATCAACCCTGCTTTGGTCTTTCCGAGTGCATCGACAACTACACTTGAACCATTTAGCTATAGAGAAATCCATGTCACAGCCTCTGAAGCCTGTCCCATCTCCTCTGGTGCTGGTATCTCCTCTGTTCGGTCGCTTGACCCGCCTATGGACAACTCCGAGAAACTCGACGATACTACAGTGTGTATAAGCAACACTGCACTGCTTGAGTGCCCCGTTTATCGCAAACACCCCGGGCACGAATTGAATTTTGAGGATCCAGAATATGATATGCACGAGCGAAACTTCAATTGCACCCTTATTGGCTGCGGAAAGGGTTTCAAACGTCAGGACCACCTCGAGCGCCATATAAAAAGTCACTCAAAGGAAAAGCCCCATATCTGTTGGGTGCCTGGATGCCACCGGGCATTTTCACGCCGTGACAACCTCAAGGCACATTGTACGAAGACACATGCGAGACGAGGCGGTCGCAATCGTTATGTTGCTACCCTCGACAAGACGAGCCCCGATTACGATCCAGGGTTCCGAGGAGAGCTATCACTTGATGGACACCCGCTCAAGTTTCCAGCACTTCTCGTTCCGGGGCCTGAGGCTAAGTTTCAACAACCATGAACTTTGACATGAACAAAGCTCAAGGTCAGATTCTTCCCTATATCAAGCGAACGAAACTAAGTATCTTTAATAGACTCCCATCATCCCAACTTTTCTCCTTTCAATAAAGCTGGCGAAGACTATACGGTAAAGCATCCCGCCGCCGTAATGATCTTCAAGTTTCTCGATTCTTGTCTTTGCCTATCGGAGTGCTTTGCCTCCAAGCTGCCGAAGACCTACGACCAAGGAAGCGCAACAACAGCTTCAAGATTCGAATTATAGTATCTAGGTGGGAATAAAATCTCCTTGCAATGCAATAGTAGCCGCTGATGTGTGTGAAGGTAGACGGGGCAATCTCAACGTGGATGCTCGGTGAGGCGGCCATACGACCAACGGTGATATTTCGTTGATCGGTGACGGGGTACCAGCCCTTCACCACTATTTAATTCATTCCCAGTTTTCTCTCCCTGAGTAATTCATGCCTAGTTTGCTTTTCTCTCTGCCACATTGGAAATAATTAGCAGCATTCGGCAGTATATTTAAACCTCCAGTTAGTCTGGTACCGCCAGTTCAAACACCGTTGTCGCCTCCCGTACAGCAGCGCGGGCATCCAGTCGAACGAGATGTCGGAATTTGGTCAGAATGGTTCGTACCACTTGATGTTTCGGTGGCTCTGTGCTCACAGCAGACTAGATAACGACTTCGATCTCAGCATTCACGAAATCCGGCGAGAGTCTTCTCCTATATCGGCGCCAGTTCCAGCTCTTTCTGGAAATAACGAAGATGCTGGGCTGGATTTTCCAAATGTAGCAGAGCATGGGGCACATGAGGCTCAAGGACCGCTCTTGGTCGATTGCTTTTTCCACCGCAACTACGAGGATCAGTCGGGCTTCAAGTGGACTGGTCTGCATCCTCTCTCCATCTCCACTCTACCCGATGACCTCTTCCTTTACGTGTCGGCATATTTTCCTTTCGAGGAGGTCTACTGGATAGAGTTCCGACTCGCACGAGTTGATCAATCAACCGGCGAAAGGATTGAAACCATGATGGGAAACTTGCACCGGATGCGTGAGCAGATGCTGGACATGGTCTCCCAAGCTGCTTTTGGAGCCACATCCCCATCTTTTCGATTGTCTTTGTGGCCGCGAATGGAACCTCTGCCGTATTCCGGTCACTCGACCCTCTCCCCGCTAGCAACACTATCCATGATGCCACCTATGGATCCATCATTTTTTGTAATCTCGGTGAATTATAGGTTATTGCAGCGTGACTACATTCATAGTGCTTGGTGGCTTCTCTCGGGCTTTTCAATGGTAACACGTATTCAAAGTCTACTTTACACAATCTTCCAAGAGATAGTCGGTCAGACGCTGAACCTAAGTTTGAATAACACATTTTTCAATTTCATGATTTCTGACTTTGATCGATGTATCTGTTGACTGTCGTTTGCGACATGGCACCCTTCCGTTGGCAGACCCTCACGCGTGCTTTTTGATATCCATCAACACAGCCAGATCACTTCTCGAGCATTGATTCCAGTCCTTGAGAACGCAAATCAGTCGTTCTTGGGTCTGTCCCAAAGCCTGTTCAAAAGAATACAGGTGAGATAGCTGCTCACCGGGACAATGCCGGAGCCCGTCTCGCTCGTTGCTCGGTTCAATGGTAGTTTCCCACGAAGTTTTGTCATTTTCGTCTGAGTTCTCACCATTTCGGTGTTTCGGTACATACGAGGCCCAAATACGTCGATAGAGTCCCATGGTTCGAGCCGCTTGAAAGGCGAGTTTTGGGTCATCACGATCGAGATCTGCTAGTGTCTCCAATATGGGTTGAAACTGCTCGATTGCCGGGGATTTCTTTGGGCATGCTTCCTGCTGCTACAAGAGAATTCAGTGATTGGTCGCAGTATAGAATGTGTTGTCGCACCTAGCTTACCACTGGGGTTTTGGGATCGGAAACAGCCTGTGGATAGGCCTCATCACTTTGGATAGGCATTTCACTCGGCTGGCAGTCTGCCATATCTTGGTCCGGTAGTTGTTCTGGGGCATCCATCATTTTCACTTGCAAATGTTTAGCGTTCAAGAGTATATACTCTGCCTGGCACTGGTGTCTCTTATAGCCTGTGCAGAGTCAAATAGTTAGTTCAACGCTGTTGCAAGGGTGCGCAGGAATCGTTCAAGGTGACTCAATGACCCAATACATGTTCAAGATATCGTTGAACATCTATCTTCAACTATGAATTTGGATCGACTACTTTCTGTGGTCGATTCGCATATTCTTCGTAGTAACTTCTGCTCACCGTTCGAGGTGAAATCTGAGGGACCAAAAAAAGAAGCCCGATGGAAGACTGCTACGTTGATTCTATGAAGATCACGTTGATAAAAAAATGTTAATTTCATTACCAGCGTCCTCATCTTGCTACTGTTGAACAACAAGAGACTCACGAATGGCACGGCCGTTGAAGGGAACATACGGCAATGTGTTTTCCGACCATGCCTGCTTTTTTGCGGCCTCTTCGCGCTATCTAGCAAGCTCACCTGGGAAGAAACTGCCTCTTGTGCTACGCCAACTGGACCGCAGGCCACATTGTGGTGCGTTGAGGTGTGGTCGTTGAGTCAACGTTAGGCCCTCCAGTCGGTCAACGTTTCTTCACAATAACGTATCTTTCTAGAACATTCCGTTCTCGCGCGGTTCGAACTGGTCAGGGTGCGCCTTCCGAATGAGATCCACCCAGCTCGGAATAACTCCATGGCCATTCGTCGGATCTTCCATCTCAACGATACGCGGGCAAGGACTGCTGAAGGAACCACCGATGATGTCTTCCACCCGACTGCCGAGTAGAGGTACGTTTAGACGCCTCGCGATACCATTTCCCTCATCGAGAGCCGTAGAGTATGAGCACAATGACCCAAGAATAAGCTCAACTGTTGCGCGCAAATCAGGGATTTTGTGCAATTGATCAGGTTTTGGACAAAAAATTAAGTCCATTTGAGAATGACGCTGATCATGAACCGACAGAGGAGGTTCGGCGGTGTCAGGGGTTTGTTCCATGTTTCGATGGTCACGAAGTCCTACCTTTGGGCTCAAAGGTCCAACATACACGATGACTCTTTCTAGAGACGCGCACGACAGTTTTTGTTGTGAACGAGGGGAAAAATTCTTCGCACCCCGGTGCAGAATTAGTGCTGTTATATACCCAGGATTATTAGCGCGTTCATATCGTTACCCGGCCCCGCTTGTCACTGAGCTAGCTAGTCACATGTGCCTTTTGGTCACACAAAGTTTTTCGTTGGATCGCGTACATACGGGTCACGAAAAGTTTATCTCTTTGTCTGTTTGATTGGGGTTCGTTTTGAATTTCATTTTAGATCTAGACCAAAGCCAACCACATGTGAAATTTGTCATTGTAGCGCCGTTGCTGCGCAAGGCCTGACAATAGAAATGACCAAACATGACCGGGAAGCAGTTTGCTCTCCAGTTTTTCGGAAAATTATCTGCTCAGGGCCCCTCCCAGAGGATTTGAAAGCAGAACGGGAGACCATAACTACCCTGCTAGGCGACATGTCTGGGCTGGGTAAAGATATGATGCAAGGTGAGAGGCTTCAAATATCGTGGAAAATCCCTCTGCCATGCGGCTAAACATCAATAGCCTTTGCGAAGATCCAACAAGTTGTGAAACAACTGAAAGAATATAGCAACATTCTCTCGGCTCCGGCCGGAACCGCAACCTCCCCCATTGAGCCTGCCAATCAAGTGTCGACCATGTCTTCACGGTTTTCACTTCTCAGGCCTTCAATCGGGAATTCAGGGGGGTGATGAGAATTGCACCTTGCCGATTTGTGTACCACAACCTCCACCACCTGATCACCGACTAGTGCAAACCCAGGAACGTACGCTGCATAAGGTCCATGTTGCATCAGAAAGAGAAAACAATTGCGCAAAGTCCGGGGGGAAAGACGTGCTTCGCCTACAGTCTCGCCATCGCTGGAACAGGGCAGAGAAAACAGCATTTGCAGACTTTATGCGTGGCCGAACTCATATGTCCTGGCCAGAGATAGCAGACGACTACTGGAAGATCACGGGGAATCAGTACAGTGTAAACTCATTGAGGCAGCTGGCTAGGAGAATGGGAATCCAGGTAGAGTGTGGAATGCCGAAAACTCCTTCAAGATCGAGCCGATCTAGCCCCTTGGTGCTGAAAGTTAGCCTGCCTCCGCACTTAATGAAGTCATCCAAGAATGATCAAACCGCAAACTCCATCGGGATCGCTACTCAGGATCAAGATTGTGAGGCAAGCGACAGACTAGAAGAGCCTGAGAAGCATGGGTATGACAGTGAGGCCAAATGCTCCGCGCCGAATTCACCTTATTCACCGCGAGATATACCCAATCCCAACGACATGCACAACCAAAGTCAAAGGCCTGGCCCCGGACAAGACGCGGCTGGCCAATTGAATTGGATATTGAACTGATACCGCAAATCCAGATAGTCTAACATGGTGTCTACTTGTCTAGCTTTGCTTGTCGCGTCAAGGTCGCAGTACCTTCAGTTCTTTGAAGGCTGTAATCTACTAAGGCTCCTGGGAGCCAGTCATGGGTATATAGGTAAGGCATAGATAAGGAGTGTAGAGAATATGAGAGGAGAGCCCACAAAGTGTATCCAGGCTTCCCTGAACACAAGCAAGCATTTATTTCTTTTGCTCTTCGCGCTACATCTGGTATTGAGAGTGAATTTAACCTGAGACACTATATATCTTCATTTATGCGTGAGAACCTTGCAAAGCTAGCTAAAAGGCACAGGGCAGAAGGCAATACAGCTTGGGGACCCTTTATTGCGCCCAGCAACGCTCTCAGTAGCTTCCTATCTCTCATACAGCGCTTCTGGAAGCGTTGTGTCATCAAACAAGTATTTTCTTTTTTCCTGAAATCGAAATTCTACCTACCTGGGGCCCATGAAGCGTTCTGGGGGACCATAACGTGCCAGAAACGTCGTAGCTCATCAGCGTGCTAGGTCCTATTAATATATCAGAGGGCTATAAGACTTGTGTCACGATACTGCAGAACTATGGCATTATAAAGAGAAAGAAAGTCAGTATTGAGTCACGCCAATCTCCTACGTTGATTTTACACATGAACCACAGATTGTGCTCAATAGCAACGCTGCTTGCCTCATTTGGCCCTGATGCTGACTACTAACAGACTGACAGGATCTTGTCATCCGGCTGTTGATACTTTAGCGAAGGATGCTCACGAGGCTTACCGGCACATGTGTTCGGATTGATGCCGGAGGTGCAAGAATGAGGGGTAATATCTGGTAATAGCAACGAATGCACGCACACAGCACTATCTGGTCGTCTACGAAGATCCACGTGCATCTTCATAAGGTTTGCAAAGTTAGGCCTGAGATAAGACGGTCAACTAGATTCGTGGTCATATCAGCTTATCGAAAAAATCAACCAACTTTTTTTTTCATTAATGCAGTCAGAATTCATGTCGTGGTCGTAATCATGCTCGTCGTACGCTCTCGTAGCTGCCCCTCCAAAAAAAAAAAGCGCGCTGGGCTCACCGAGGAAATTTCCGAGGCGGCAAGGGCGCGCGGCGAACTACCTGTGACAGGAAATTGTACAGTAATATGATAAAGCTCTGATAGGGACGGCGAACGGGTGCCACTGTTCATGGTGTGAAGGCGGTGAGGTCGAGGGCAAAAGACACGATGGAGCACGCGTCGTAGTGACGCTCTGGTCTTATCTCCTCTCCGGCGATGGGACTCCGAACAAGTATGTTTCACAGTCGTGATGGCTGTTCCTATGTACAATGGCATGGAATTAGTGATGTTTTCCGTATTTTAGAGCGCAATAACTTGTCCCAACAATTGATATAGTGTAGCAGAGGGTACGATTATTGTGATATGACTCACATGAGGCTGGTGCATATCGGGAACCAAGTCGCACTGTCGGAGTTAGCTCTGAAGTGTCTATGCAGACGACTAAGTTGATTTTCAATCAACTTGGCTAAATGTTGTATGTATAGGCTCATGTATACTTCTGAGATACTAAGTCAATTCATATCTCTGAAATAAGATAGTCATTCCGCCCAATTTGCGTTCTATGGTCTGATTCATTATTGCCTTTGGCAGCTCAACAGTTTCTGTGGGTTGAAATATACATGAAGGAAACACGATGAAATTGGTTTGGGGATGAAACATCAGACACAGAATGTGCCCCAAATAGTGAATATTTTGGAAAACAGAAGAAGTTAGGAATTTACAAATCTTGGAATCGAATCTTTTCCAGAAGAAACTTCTCTCATGTTTGCTATCCCACTGGGCCAGACCAGTGCTGATCGTAATCACGTATGTGTCCAGCCGCGAAAAAGGGGTATGTTTTGACGGATAAATACTTTCACCGAGATGCCGCCCCGCTGACAGTGACGACAGGGAGGCGTCAGACTTCGATATTCCCTCGATTTATTCTCGATAATGAGTGGAAGCAGCTCACCGGACTACAAAGCGCTTTTTCACAAGGAGGCCTCGCTGAGACGGCAAGCAGAGGAACGAGAGAGGCAGGAAGCCGAGCTGAGACGGCAAGCAGAGGAACGCAACCGACCGACAACATTTCCAGAGTTCATCCGACATTGCCATGATCTCCTTTGGACGCCGCTCCGAGCCCAAACACCGTCTCGCTCCACGACTGGCAAAATCCCTGCCCCCATCGGAAAATACTGTCCTGTACGACTGCTTCCGTGGACTGGTTGTGAAGCTAGGCAGCAGGAAATTTACAGATCTGTCTGCCGTTACCTACAACCGGCCGGAGAAGATGCACCGCAATTATTCACATCCCTAGTTGCGTTGGAAGACCATGGTCGACGATTTGCACGCCGACCGATTAGCAGCGAACAAGACCTCGAAACCTACGAGCGACTCGCCGTCGAAGACCATGTGCACGACATAATTGCTGAGTTGTGCAAGATACCCGAAGCCCGCGAAGAGTTTCGGTTAGGCAACGGAGTGCGGTTCGATAATCACGCCAATGCTTTGGATAAAGATGATGAAGCCGATGCTAGCCTGCCCTCAACCTCTAGACCTTCGAAGCCAGATCAATTTTGCATTCATCGAATGGACGGCAATAGGAGTACTCTGCTCACCACGGTCGAATACAAACCCCCCACAAGCTCTCCGTGGCCAGCCTGCGGAGGGGACTTAGGCCGATGGATTTCTGGCGCGAAGTTGTCCAACCTGATCGTGTGCCGACGGAAGAGCCAGAAAAATCAAGATATCACGCCGAGCGGCTGGTTGGGTCAGCCATCGTACAAGAATTTCACGTGATGATTCAAGAGGGTCTGGAGTATTCATATTTGACGAATGGCCTGTTGGACGTGCAACTCTGGGTGCCCTACGACGACCCAACCACCCTTTATTACCACCTGGGCGATCCCGGTATATACGAGATGGCGGGTGTTGCAGGGCCTGAAATCCCGAGGACTCGAATCGAGAGGGCCCTGTGTCTCTGTCTGATGAGTTTTCGTGCTCCTCTTCGTGACCAGGCGTGGCGGAATGTCGCCAAAGACGGTCTACCAAAATGGCATTCGATCCTTGATAGCGATCGCGCTCAGATCGTAGTAGTGGAATTACCACGGGGCCTGGACGTGGAAGATGCTAATTCCGAATCCACGAGTCCTGAGCAGTCAACCTCTGAGTACCTCACATCCTCGTCTCCCATGACCAGCGGCCCTCGAGTGACCACCCGAGCGGCCGCTAGCTGCGCGCCACTATCCAGTCCCCGTCACCGCGAGAGTTCTTCGGATTCCGAGGCCGACCCTACCGCATCCGCGGGACGGAAGCGGGGTTACAGTCAAGTTAAATCGTCCCCTCCAACCCAACGGTCCGCCCCGCGAGCAGATCGCCCAGGGAACCAAAGCGGGCAATCTCGCTCCCACGATGCGCCGTATTGCACACAAAAGTGTCTTCTCGGGCTACAGCAAGGCGGCACGGTTGACCCTGGGTGCCCCAACACGGAGCTGCATATCCTCGGTGGAAAGGCGGACTGCCACCCGATCAGTGCAGCTGACTTGGTGAAAAAGCTGAAGGTGCAGCTTGATCTGGATCTGGATCATAACTGCACTCCCATCGGTCCTTGTGGGTCCTCCGGCGCACCATTCAAGATTACATGTGCCACCTTCGGATATACGGTTGTCGGGAAGGGGACGACTTCAAAACTCTGGGGGGAGGTCTCGCCTGAAGCCGACATCTACCGGGTCCTCCAGCGTGCCCAAGGATCGGCCGTTCCCGTCTTTCTCGGCGCCATCAATCTGGCCCAGACTTACTTCCTCCACGGCGCTGGAAGGATCCGTCATATGCTTCTGATGGGCTGGGGTGGTGAGAGCGTGGGCCATACTACTTTAGAAAAGACCATTCGGGATGCGATTTCCCGGTCGGTGAAGGAGATCCGTCGTTGCGGCGTTGTTCATCAGGATCTTCGTCCGGACAACATCCTCTGGAACGCTGAGCTCGACCGAGCTCTGATCATTGACTTCCATCTATGCACTTTAGACCGTCGACCGCAGCACAGACGGTCGCAGGCTCTCAAACGATTACGACGTGACTCTAAGGAACATCACTCAAAGCGGGTGCGGGTAGTATGAGCAAAGGATGCTCGAGCTGGAATTGATATTAGCAGCCTAAGCTTCGTAACCTATTTTATAAAACTTGGCTAATCATCGACGCAGTGCCAGCTCACAGTGGAATATTGGCCTTCAGGTCCACGGTTCATTGTTTTGTTTAGCGAACATATCCAGCAGTCTTCCAGTTCATCGCATGTATTCAACTTAATTGCGATACCGATTAGAGGTGTGGCCCGCTTGGTAGAGGTCTGAAGCGCTCAAGGCGCTTGTCGCTCCAGCGGCTTCACCAATGCGAGAGGAGATAGAAACAATGAGTTCACGAACACTAGGGCAGCTGTCGTTCCTAAAATTGAAAACAAAGCAAATGACTACAAGCTGGCACCATGCTAGTTCATGGGGTTACTGAACTTTCTCGAGCTGCGAACAAACAATGGAAAGTGTCCCCAGGTACTGATGGCAGCGTCATCAAGTCAGATGCAAGAGCTCTGGACGGACTGATGTAGTCCCACGAGGCCAACCAGTCTACTTACTTCACGCTAGTCCATATCTCGCTTACAGACCCTATTTGCAACGACTGTTCGACTATTGAAACTTGTCTCTTCCAAAGTAATCAAATAAAATACCGACTGATTCTGTTCACTCAAGCAAGGCCATATCTCGAGAGGTCAACAATGGATATTTGACATGACTGATGGAGGTTCTCTCGATAACATCCTTCATTCGGCCCCACTTTGTCCACTTTCCCCATGCTCTCCTATGCCCCATGGGTATTCGAAGTTTTTGAATTCAAATGGCTTTTATTCAACCGTGGAAAGGGGTAGCGCCTGTCTGAGGCTGGAAAACACACTCAAATACTTTTCCATGGTCGCTATGCATAATTCAGCAGCAAATTCTGGATACGCTGTCAAGAGGTCGTAATCAATCCCCAGGGTCAGCCCTCCATGAAGTTTTCGCAGGTTTTTCATAATCAGTTCTATTACTGACTTCCTAATATCTCGGTAGTCGGCATTTGTTGAATAGAGTTCCTTGATGACCAGCGCCAAGATCTGCTTTTCGGAGCAATTTTCAAATGAATCTCGAAAGTTCTCTGCTGCTTTGATCTTCAGATCTTTGATCAAGAAGTAATCCGCTTCTCCATACATGCGGAGATGAAAGTAGCATGGGTGGCAATCAGCCAATGATTCGTCGATAGCATCCATTTGCTCGCTGGAGCCTGTTAGAGGGCCCTCGTCAGCTACTGAAGTCTTTTTGTTCACTGAGCATTCGTCCGTAAGGCTCGCTGCAAGTTCATTTGACAGTGACATTGCAATTTGGTCAACGGCATGTTCTTCAGCCGAAAGGTTCTCCACTTCATGTTGGTCTCTTTGGGAGAGTCGCAAAGCCGCTTCCGAATGCCATGTATCTAGTTCCGGTATTTTATCGCTATCGCTTGGTGAAATTTGTACTTTGGTCGTATTGTCTTCAACTGTGTAGTCTCCAGTATAAAGAAACTGTAGCATCCTTTCGACTAATGTCGGGCTTCTAGTGTCCAAATTGACAGATCCCTGGGATTCCTGTGAGTCAGGCACATTAGCTTCGGTCTGAGATTCTGCTTAAGTTTACATTACCTCGAAAGAACCACAGCATGCGCTTTGAAAGTATTTGGATCTGGGACAAAGAACAAGCTTATGAGCTGGGAAGACTCAATTTTGGCAAACTATCTTGAGATCGCTGTAATCAGGGTTGAGGTGGAGGCTTTCTGAAGATGAGCGGAACTCAGGAGAAAAAGCTTGCGATTTTTAGAGAATTTTTATATTTCTTACCTAGCAACGATATCCAGAATGACATTTTGGTACTTTCTCTGTTCCATTCTCTCTTGAATGACGGCAGTGGGCTTCGGGGGGGGTCAGGAGCAGGATCGCTCTCTGTTGATAACGTTGATGAGCTGTGTCTCCTATTTCTTCTGTTTACCATAGTTTGGAGATAATAGGAAAGACTGAGGAATTTATTCGATTGAGCGGACATACGGCGAGACAGCTATATGTCTCGGAAAACTGCGCGCCAGATGCACAGCTGCCCGACCCCGCCTTTTAATTGAATAATACCACCAAGTCGTGTTTGTGACTCACTAATAGACCGATAGGATGGATTTCATGGGTATCGGTGTATTATACATTGTCGAGATGAGGAACCATTGTGATGGCTGATATTGAAAATGCCCATTAGAATCAGATGATTGATTGTAGGTGATAACGATCGGTTGAACGATCTCAGGGGTCTATAAAAATAAGCTTCGGCGTGTCACAACACCGGACTTCCGAATGTGCCCGGAATGCCGTACAATTACTGGGGGGGATGGTGAACGATGAGTAAGCCTGTCTCAAAGGGTCTCAGTGGTATTTGACCACTCTTCCAGTTCGTCAAAATATGCTACCTCGTCTTGTAACTATATTAGCTATCCAGGGGAACAGGGAATTTTCCATGGAGATACAAACACGTCTAACACTAGAGCTGGGGAGTTCTTCGATAATCTGGCGAACGGTCCCTTCTCTGCCTCTCCTATATTTGATTGATAGTCTGGGCCGCTTATTCGGCATCCGACCTGCAAATAGTGACTGTCCTTACAATAAAAACTACCCCTGAAAATGCTTATCACAATACTCAGCCTGTCAGCCACAGTTACCCCGGATCGCACTTGGTGGAAACTGATACACAACCATGTCAATGGACTCCTCAGTGGTATCTTCTGCCTTGAGGCGATGGCTTACACTTCTTTTAACGATGATGATGATGATCCTTACCAAATTGAACTGCCCAATCTGCGCAACGGACTCCCTCGTATGTCCCTACCCTATTGACCCAGACCGCAAATGGACGACATCAGTAATCTGCCCTCCATCCGACCCTGAGGACATAGTTGGTGAATGTTCACCTTCCCTGCATCAATAAATACCCGACCAGCAGGGGTTTGACTCTGTAGTTGAAAGTGCAGATAGAAATGCATGGGATCAATGATCCCCGGACTGCAATTACTATCAGATAGAATGGAGGGTTGAACTAAATAATCAAGTTGTGGAAGGATACAAAAGAAGACCTCACTCAGCCACATAGATCCTACTGCGAACAGGTAAATGAGGATGCTTGTAATATTCTAGCGCGGAAGACAGCCCGTGGTCGACGGGTGAGACTACATAATACTATGGAGTTATCGGTGAAGTCTCAACGGGATATTGACAAAAGGTACTAGTATTGATTGGGCAGCGGTGGAGAAACAGTTGCTAGCGTGGGCCTATCTATTTCGACCCTTCATCTGAGATGCATTAGCGAGCTACCCTGAATCATGTGATGGATTTGCTCGAGCTGTGTGGCTTCAAATTCGGTGCCACTCTCCTTGATTATCTGCTTGTGCGTCACCCGCGAGTTTAGCCGATGCACCGGCTCGGATCATAAGTCCGAGATCTTCCTATCGACACCCCGCACGCCAGACGCTTACAACTCTCCACCTGGGTCTCCCAATGATCCACCACTACATCTCATTCTTTGGGCTATCATCATGAGTAACCCATCATTGGCCAATGTGGGTAATAGCTTTGCCATTCAAAATGAAACAAAATCCATCAAAATTGCACCCTCAAACTATCATGGAAGGTATATCGTACATTATTTGTCTCCAGGGCTTGTCTGTTGCCCATTTCCACATTCAATTGAGTAAAAAGTGGTGAACAGCAGGTGAGATCGAGCGTCAACAGTTGAGGTAGCCGTTGAGATAACCGTTCACTGACTCTTTTGAAGGCAGTCGAACTCAGGACTAGCAATGACAGCAGCTCAGTGTCGTTGCCGTCTATAAAAGACCCTCGAGTACAATGTCTTTTGTATTTCATTCCAAAGACCACGATGGACCCTTCCACTTCACTTTCCTCGTGTGACCGACCGGCCAAGAGACAGCGTCGGATCTCCCACGATGCAGACGATGATGACAAGGCGCAAAGCCACCAACAGCAATCTTCAAATGGTGCAACCATCGAAGCTGAGGTTAGTCAGGCCCTCTTCGATTGCAAACGAACGAGATCACTAATACTGCATAGGTTTCAGTGCGCACACCCGGTTCCCTTGCGGCGGAGTTCATGAAACTTATAAACTACAACGATGCCCTGGCTACACCAGCCCTCAAACTGCTCGACCTCTACTTCTGCCTCTGGGAATGCTACGTTGTCAAATCTGCCGAAAAGATACGACTCGAGGAAGAGCAGCGACAGCTTCAAGAGTCAAATGAGTGGCTAGCAAGCGATAGCAACATCCTTCAACAGCTCTGCGATGAGCAGGCATTGATACTGTGGGATCAAAAGCGAGCAGTTCAAGCCCTTTGTAATGGCGTGGTATCATCATTGCAAGCGAGCGAGACTCTAGCCTGCCATGCTGATAGGCATTGATTAAGTCTCATTGTTGTTCAGCGCTCGTGGGTGATAACGGCCCAAACAACCACCGGTGAAGTTCCGTTGGGTTTGGTGACGGGGTGTCAACGTTTCACGGCTGTTGATAGACCAAGCGTTTGGTTTTCAACAAGTTAGCATCTGGCCATCCAGTCCTCCTAATCTTTGATCAACTTTCGTTATCAAGATAAATAACTTGCCTGCCTACCCTGCGGCATTTTGTCCTTCCCAACCCTCGTAAAATCATACTTTCCACATTTCTGTAAATCCCCACGGCGAGTCTTGAACAAGAATGCATAAACCAAAGAAGAATGGTCTGTGCCCGTTATTTCAATGGTTGGATTGTGCTAAAATTGGTAGACTGTGATTTGGATTTCGACTTTCATGCCATCTGGCAAGACTCCTCTGGCATACCGACACCGCCTCCTTGTCTCGCTACCGACTTCGAACATCATCGGCAAATCCTCTCGAATAAGAGTGAGCCTGAAGAATATGAGACTCGAGGTTCCTACATGATCGAATGCTGTTTGCACCCCACTTACGACAAGCTGTCGGCCTTCAAGTGGATGGGTCCAGATCCTCTGTCCATGTCTACTCAGGCTAGCGACATGT